ATTAAGGTAACTTTCTAAACTCAGAAAATTTTCCAGAAACTAACTTAGCTTTACATGGTGAAGATGCTATTGGTTTGAGGACAAAAACTCTTCAAGAGGGAGAGTATGATGTGGACATCAGTACCAGAGAAACCTCCTTAGGCGTTGGAGAGCATTGAAATGTCCACTTGGAACTGAGCAAGCTTGGAGATAAGGAGCAAAGGAGACATGTAGCTGTTTCCAAAGGAGCTGAGGACTTAACACCAAAACGCCACTGTTCTATACACCAAGAAGAGCCTTATGACCGAGCCAAGCATGTAATTGTTCACCTTAATCCGCAAGAGAACCAAGTTAAACCATCAAAACCGCATATCCACATAAATGGAGCAACAAGTGTATATTTGGAGCCATCTATGGAAATATGTCAAGTAATGACATATTATTCGACCAACCCTACGTCCCAAGAAGCTACTGAAAAATACTAAACCACTTTTGGTTCAATTTAAGTAATTACTTATCCAAGAAGATCCAACCAAGTGCATATATAGACCTACATGCAAGTATATATAGCCATTCAAGGAAACTAGGAGCAACGTGACATTATATTCGACTCACCACTTCATTTGACCACTAAGGAGCATATCAGGACATTAAGGACGAGCAAATAAACTGAATAACGGAGCTCAAACCAGCCAAAACCGAGAAGATATCACCAAAGAAGCACTTACCATATTTGGAACCAATTATCTTGGTTTAAGGACAATAGATGGAAACCAAAGCCAATGACCATATCACTCATTTAATCTCGACCCTCCATCATTCATAGAAGATTCAATACATTCATTTCGTGCTGAAGACATAAAGAAGATCCCCCTTTCATTGCCCCATTCACCTACATGACCTCTTAAACCCAACGACTAGCTAGAATCAAGTTTCATCACTTAGATTGATTCTTGTCTTGTTTTTATTGCATTTAACCGTTGGTTATCTTTCATTTGGCTCTATGTAAAGCTCATAAGCATTATACTTTCAATTTTACCAATAAATAATTAAAAAAAACCTTTTGTTTGTTTCTCAAAAAAAGTCTCTTTGAAATTAACTTGTTCATGCGAATTTACAAGTCCATTGTGTGGAATCAAGAAGCTTTTAAATTTTGTGTAGAATCTACAAGTCCATGTGAGGAAGAGCCTTTGGATTATAGAGTCTAAAAACCGTGCTTGTGGAATCATGTACAACCGTGTTACTTCATCATCTTCAACCTCCCATCAAAACAGCTTGAATGATTTTGATTCAAGTGCTCTAAGAATTTAGTGGAATCTAATTCTTATATCAGGTAGTCGTGTCTATTTGCCAGGATCTCAAAATCACATAGCAACCGGTGAGGCGCCCTTCAGGAGAAATGGAAAATATTTTCCTTCATGAAAGTTCTCTAACACTCAAGTTAAATGCAACCACTAAGAAGAAATACTCTACGTTTTGTAAAGTTTTGGTTGGAAGACTTTGTCTGTAGATTATGATGATCATCTGATATTTAGTGGTTGCTTTAAAGGGCATAAGGCCACATTGAAGGCAGGTTGCAAGACTCTCGTGCCAGGTTAGGTGAGGGGGAAGAATAACTTACCTCGCCTGGCATTTTCTTGCGCATAGTTAGGAAAGGCACGTCCACGAGATGCTGTTGTCCAGTTACGTCGATAGGGAACACCATATAAGATGTGGCTGTTATAGGAATGGATGATTGCGATAGAATCTCTATCTTGTCTCCGGATCCATCCTCCATCTCCTCCCTTGGTGTTGGACCTCTCTTCTCTTATGAGCCTTTGCACATTATTTATACTCTCTTTTTGTTCTACTTTTATTGACTTCCCTAATTTTTCGTTCAATTACTAATCTATTGGCAGCACCATTCTCGTCCAATCATGAAACCTTTCGGAAAATTTGCAGATAGATTTACTGGTGGACGAATCCTTCAACCAACATGGCATTTCTTAGTTGGGTTTCGTAAAATTAGTCCCAATCATTTCATTAATAAGAATCATCTGATTCCTTTTTTGTAGGAGCCGAGGACCAAATATCATCAAGGGAAAACCTTGCATGCTCTTAAATTCATCTTTTTTTATGAAAATACAAATGTGATTTTTTTTTTTTTTTTGAACTTTACAAATGTGATTTTTCAAACGTATCTTTAGTGTGAATCTAAAGACTCCTCTCTGAATATATTAAAAGTAATGGAGCAATATACTTTTAACTTGTCTGGTCGATGTGTGCGATCATGTGTCGCTAAATCAGATTCGTTCTTGTTCTCATTGTGTACCTTCAGTTTTAAAACCTTTATCTACCTTAAAACGCAAACAATATGGTTGAGAGTATGTAAATGCAATTTTACGTAAACGCAATTTTAAATCTCATACAGAGGCTGCGTTCATGACACTTAAACTAAATGTGCATTATGAGGATAAAACTGAAATTGGATCAATGTACAAGCAAAAACTGGTTCGTTCTGCGAATCTTCTTCCATTATTTACCTGTAAAACCACATGCCTTCATTTAATTTCAATTGCTTATTACCCAAGTATAAATCAACACAACAATAACACAAGTGTCTCTCCATAGCTTGACACATCAGCATTTTCAAGTTTTTAGGAGATGACACTTCAGCAAAAAGAATCACCAATAAAAATATTTCATTAATACAAATCATCAATTTATTTTAACTTTTAAATTTAAACCCATTAAAAACCCGAATATTTTTTATTGTTAATTTTAGTTTTATTTTTTGGTCAAACCCAAGCCCGAATAATAACTAACAACAAAAAAAAATTGTTTTATTTTTTGCCAAACCCAAATAATAAATAACAAAAAATAATAAAATTAAATTTTTGTTTTATATTTTTGCCAAACCGAAACTCAAATAATAAATAACAGCAAAAAAATTAAAATTTCTAACTATGTGTTTGCTTGATAGAGACGTATATGATTGAAGAAAGTGTAGACTCATCATCAACTATACTTCCATAACAACAATGTAAAAAGCATTATGTTATAAGAAGCTCACACATCAGCAAAAATTTGAACCAATACAAACATAACAATAATACATATTATTAACACACTAATTAAAATCAGTTTACTATTTTGCTGATCCATTAAAAAGCACAAAGTTTACAAAAAAATGGAGGTCGAAAGCAAATGAGGAGAAACTCAGGCCACCACAACTTGGAGATTCGCATTTTCAGTGGTTACTGAGAACAAATTTTCTTGGGTTTGGCGGGAATAGAGAATTTCTTGGTTTTGGTAGAAAAATGTGATTTTCAGTTTGGTAAGAAAACATAATTTCTCGGTTATGGCGAAAAAAAACGAATTCTCGGGTTTAACGGAAAAATGTAAATTTTTGGTTTTGGTGAGAAAAAAAAATTTGATTTTGACAAGAAAATACGAGGGAAATGCAATTTTTCAATTTTGACAAAAAATACGATTTCTCGGTTTTGATAAAAAAATGCAATTTTTTGGCTTTTGATGAATAATGTAATTTCTTGATTTTCGTGAAAAATTGTAATTTGACAATTTTGGCAGAAAATACAATTTCTCGGGTTGATAGAAAAACAAAATTTCTCGATTTTGGTGGAAATAAACAATTTCTTGGTTTTGATGGGAAATACAAATTTTTAGTTTTTGACATATAACTTGATTTTTTGGTTTTCGAAGAAAAATATGATTTCTTAGTTTTCACGAAAAACACAATTTTTCAGGAGATAATGCAATTTTTGGTTTTCACGGGAAATTATATTTTATCGGTTTTGATAGGAAGGTGTGATTCTGGATTTGACGAGAAAATTAATTTTTTCTTGTTTTAGTGGGAATAGACGATTTCTCGATTTTTGTGGAAAAATAATTTTTTTGGTTTTGATGGGAAAATACTATTTTTTTGTTTTTGCAAGAAAATGAAATTTTTTGGTTTTTATGAAAAAACTTGATTTCTCTGTTTTGACGGGAAAACACAGGTTCTCGCGGAAAAATGTGATTTTTTGGTTTTTGAGGAAAAATGCAATTTCTTTGTTTTAGTAGGAAAATGAAATTTCAGGTTTGACGAGAAAATGAATTTTTTTTGGTTTTGGCGGGAATATGCCATTTCTCAGTTTCGTGGAAAAATAAAATTTTTTTGTTTTGTCAGAAAATACAATTTTTCGGTTTTTGTAAACAGATAAAATTTCTTTGTACTAAGTTTTCAAGTTACAATATGTTTATAGTAACCAAAATTGAATTATTTAACTTCAAGTAAATTGATATTTCAACAGTTCAAATAGAACTTGCTATTTAGTTCTAAAGTCATAGTAATGATTTTGATATGAATGTTATTTATTATAGTTTTTTAGTCTTAGAAACATATTTTTATAATAAAAATTTGATAAATAAATAAATTTTATAATTTATAATAATCATATTAATTAATATTTTTTTAAATGATAATTTGCTTTATATCATTTAAAAGGAGGATCTGTAGCAATTTAGTAGAGAAAATAAATTATATTTACTATTAGCATGAATATACTTAAATTTGTATTGTTTTATTCTTACATATATATTTACAGATAGTTAGCTAAACAAATTTGATAGTAAATTATAATTTTAAAAGATAAAAAGATTAATGATATATAATGTTTATTTGGATTTAAAACATATAAATACATAACTTAAGCTAATAAAAATAAATATAATACTTATTTATATTATAGTAAAATAATTTTATTATATTAAAAATATATACAAATCTAGAAAAATATCCTGCAGCTTAGCGCGGGTAAATACCTAGTCAAGTTAAAAGTTTAAATCCTCGCTGATCTCAAAAATTCAGCAACGGAAAAAAAAGGAAAAAAATATAAAAGATCTCACAGATGGAGGAAGAACTTAAGAAGTTATTCAAAGTATGGTTTTTAGCAATAGTCTCAGTATCTTACTGTTACTTCCTATCGTCTAAAATCAAGGCTGGAATCTTTCGATTACTTTTTGTTCTTCCGGTTTGTGCTATGTTCCTTGTTCTTCCTCTGTGTTTCTCCTCAGTGATTTTCTGTGCATTCACAGTGTTTTTTCTTTCCGTTGCAAGTTTAAAGCTCGTACAATTCTCATTCGACCTTGGCCCTCTTTTCCCAATTCCCAGTACCCTCTTCCGATTCATCTGCTTCACCTGCTTGCCCATCAAGCTTCAAAAAAAACCTAAACCTCAAAAGGATTTCCCTAAATGGTTATTTGCGATTAAAGTCGCAATCACTTTTTTGGTGGTACTGATACATGAGTTTGATTACATACAATATCTACCTCCGGTTCTACTATTAGGTCTCTACCCTCTGCAGATTTACCTAGGGCTTGAGACTATCGTAGTCCCACTTCAATTTCTGCTCACAATCACTCTTGGTTGCGACCTCGAGCCGCTTTTCAACGAACCATACTTAGCTACATCTCTTCAAGACTTTTGGGGTCGCCGGTGGAATCTCATGGTCACGGATATTCTCCGGTCAACCGTCTATTCCCCTGCGAGGTCGCTCTGCGAATGGTTCGTAAATCCTGAGGTCGCTTCCATCATTGGAGTCTTAGCGACGTTCATATACTCTGGCCTGGGTCACGAGGTGCTCTATTTCGGTTTAACCCGTGAACTTCCTTCTGGAGAGGTGACTTTGTTCTTTTTGTTACATGGAGTTTGCGTGGTGGTTGAAGTTTGGGTTAAGAAAAAGACTTTCGTGGGGCGGTGGCCGGTGAAACCGGCTGTGTCACGGCTGGTCACGGTGGGGTTTGTGTGTGTGACCAGTGGTTGGCTGTTTTTTCCTCAGTTAAAACGCGGGAAAGTGATGGAGAGAAGCGTCAAAGAAGCCTTGTTGTTGGTTGATTTCTTCAAGAGCAAGTTTTTTTGTTTCCTTGGTGATATAATGGATCACGGAAACATGATGCTAAGTTTTCAAAACGCAGATCATCATAACTATTATTAATACAAGCAAACCCAATAATTTATAATTGTTACTTTATTTTTCTTGTACTTTTCGGCTCATAACCATTTGTGTTTTTTTTTCTTAAATGATCTGCAATGTTTGTAATCGTTTATTACATTAAAAGTTGTGTCTTGTTGGCTTTGATGCTACTATTTAAGGTTTCTTGATCACCAATTGGTCATGTTTGAAAATGGTTGGATTAACGGGCAGATCTTTTCTTTAGCGGAAGATGATTCCAAATCAGGTTTATCAAATTCCTGGGATTTCCACGAAAACAGAACGATACACAGTCAAATCTATGTCTGTTCAAACAAAGTAATTATGTCAATGTTAATCCTACTTTACATTTTGCCAATTCTAATTAAGTAACTTAAATAAATTTTTGTTAACTAACTATAGCTTCTCTCTATAATGTTTATCTAATTTTTGCATTTTTCCAGTTAACAGAAAAATTTGTTTTTCTATAGTAATAAACACAAATATATTTGTGGCACTTGCAAAAACTAGCTGTCCAAATTATTTGAAGCAATGTCATCAATAACACTGTTGGGCCAAAAATTCATCAGAAGTCTAAGAAAAACTTATATGTGTTGCATTATCACACACTACAATGATGATGACTAGCACAGGTCGAATAGGTGAGTGATGTTTACTATTGGTAGTGTGCATAAATAAGTTTGGACTAACTCGCAACAACTTCGTAGTGAAACCCGCTGGATAGTTCAGTAGATATTAGCAGGCATTCGTTCTGAATGGATTCAGGACAAGTTTGTGACCCGCACTTGACTTATAATCAGATATTTCTTATATACATATTCTTCACATCTACGATGAGAAGAGGAAAAATTTTAGAGAGAAAATTTTCATTCTCTTATGTTCGTAATATATAAGTCATTTATCCAAAGTTCTATTGGTATCACTTTGAGTCGACAGGAAAATCTTTCATAAATACATTTTTCCTAGCCGTTTATTTCCACTCTTATAACTAGTTATGTGTCTCAGTTCTGACTTGGGCGCTGAGAATAATTGAAAAGACAACCTCTACTCTTTCTGTCATGTTGACATTGTTTCATCTTTGCAGATTGGCCCATTTCCTCAGAGTTTGAACCTATGCTTAGGCCCACTCACTGATAGACCAAGCCACATAAGCATCAATAAATTGCTCTAGAACAATTGACGCTAGAAAGAGAGGGGGAGAGGGAGAGAGAGAGCTAACTAAGATGTCGAACGAAGTCAGCGCATCACCTTGTCTGCCAAGAGTCACAGTCGATGGCAAAAATCCTTGTAAATACTTAGCCTAGGCCCCACTGCCGGCACCAGCGATGACGATCCAACAAATGTTGAACCCACATCCATGATCCATACCAACTCCAGGCAGAACTCATACGAGCTAATAAACGAAACAAGTTGATGAAATAACAAGTCCGCCAAGCGTATGTAACGCTCAATGGCCAGCCGAAATCAAGACCCCTAGACAAGGACGAACCCACAATCTTCATAGGGTGAAACACCCCAATGCATCCATGCAGGGCTTTATATCTCATCATGCTTTAGCTTTTAGCTTCTTTTCCTTTCCCTTAGTATTTACATAATCTTAGATAACTATAATTTTTACAACTTTTCCTTTTCTACTTCGGAAGAAAATCCAATTATGCTAGGGTTTTTAGATCCCCTCATTAAATAAAGTTCGATCTTTTGAGTTGCAAGAACAACACATTGAATTACTAAAGAGATTTTTATCTTTCTTTCTTGTTAGGGCAGAACTTGAGAGTTTTCAACGTGAGTAAGAAGGCATTGCATCTTAGTTATTCCAAGACTAAATAAGATCGTTGCTATATTGTAGCGTCATCTACATCAGTTGGTATCTGATTCCAGCAGTTTTACTTTCTCAATTAGAACTCGGTCTGACATCAACATGGCCCCTCAAAAACCTAGAGTTGAAGAACAAAGAGTTGAGTTTCTTCAAACGTTGGAAAATTTCACAATTCGACTACATGATGCTCTTAAGCCGCGGTGGAAAACACTTTAACCACAGTTTTGGAAGTTGATAGCTTGGTTTTACTACCTAAGCAAATCCAAACACACTCATATCATTGCAGCATGTAAGGTATCAATCCATCTGAGTTCTTAAATCACCAAGATTACAGCAAATCACTTAAGTCAAGTCAAATTCAAGAAAGCAGTTGTGAGCAAACTAAACAAGTTTAAAGACTGAACTAAACAAAGTAAGAGATTCAAATAGATAAAGTAAGAATCTAAGATGGGATTATTGATTAAGAAGGGATTAGAACCTAACAAGTGATGCTTCAAAATCATTCAAACAATGCTATCTTCTAGGCATAGGATTAACAGCTATAAATAGCTCAATTCCTTGACACTAATTACTTTGCTAAGCACATATTTCAGATAAATCCTTTTACTCAAACACATGATCAGCAAGCATTCAAAACAGAATTCCAATCTTATAAGCCAAAATGCACCTTAGACATCTAATTCCTTAGGCTAAACATACAAATCCTCTAAGAGACTCTGAGCAGCATTTCATCAGACACTTACCAGGTGCAAAAGAAAGCCAAAATACTAAACAAGCCTGCCCAAGACTAATCTAGTGTTAAGCACATCTAATAGAGAGAAAACAATCATTTTAAGCACAAGACATCACTAATCTAATCTTAAAACCCCTCTAATCTTTCCCATCTCACACTCTAAATAAGACTACTCACTAGCCATAGTCAAAACCACAAATTCCAAAGAGAAAGGATGGTTAAGCATGATTAGGAAGCAGAATAAACAAAAATAGATCAAAGGCATATACAGAAATTGACTAAATCAAACTAGTTCTTATAATGCAAAGCTGAAAAAGGAAAGGTTTTAAGTGCCAGAACAGAAGAAATTAATAAGATTCAAGTTGTCTAACCATTTTAGAACTTTAGTATTTATAAGAGAACTAGGAAACCCCTAATAAACCAAGATTAAACCAAAAATAAGCTGACTCGGACAGACCATATCGACTGTGAACATCGATATACATGTTGATATCATCTCTTCTTATGGGTTGTATCGATGTCCCTTGATCGATATGCACGTCGATACAGAAGGCTCATATGTTATATTGGTTTGGCTCTCCATGGTGTGAAGTCGATACAATCGCCCTTTAGTTAAGGCTTATCGGTCAAGCAAGTCGATATGGCACCTCGGTATTATCTTGTCATATGTATCGATTTGGGACGTCGATACACTGCTCGATATGGACTCCCTTCTGTCGAGGTGTCTCTTAGTCGATATGCTTCCTTCTCACCACGCCTTTACTGTATCGATGTTGAGGTGGTCGATACTCCCATCGGTAGTTTTCCATATTGATAAGGTGATTTCCATATCATCATCGATATTGGCCCATCCGTCTTTGTCCCTTGCCTTACTTTATTCCCAGCTCACACCCATTGCACCACATGACCTTCACACTCCTATAGTACCTGAATAAAACTTTAAATGCATGCAAAATGCAATGCAGCTCCTAAAACTACACTAACTCCTATATGTATGCAAATGGGACAAGAAGAAGCAAAATATGCATGTTTAAAGACTAAAACTAGTGATGAATGCAAGCTAAAATGGTATAAATAATAGAGATATAAACACCCCCACACTTGCCTTTTGCTTGTCCTCAAGCAAACAAACTAAGACAAGGAGGAAGTGAGGTTTGAAGGTGGGTAGTCAAATCCAAAAATGATAAGGTAAAGAAGTAAAGTCAATGTCTAAGTGCTTAAGTGTAGGATTCAAAACACAATCAACCATACTAATAAGAACTTAGCCATGTCTTTCCAGTTTCAAAATGATATCTAGCTCAGCCTAGTCAAATGCTCAAATCAATCAATCCATTTAACATTCATTTAAACTTTGTAACCAAGTGAATCATGTTAAGCAAATCAAGTGGAATCATTTGGCTAAGGGTTAAGGTTATGAGATAAAATGGATCTCATTAAAATGTGGGTTCAAGTGTAAGGGTTTCTCTCAAAAAGGAATGAACTGGGGCATAATGCTAAAGGTTAAGCACAACTTATGCATACAGCGATAAATTACTATCTACCCAATGCCTAAGAATGTTTTAAACCCCAAAACTCTTTCCCCAAATCAGACCAAATCATAACTACCCTTTCTCAACACTCTCACACTCTCCACACTTTCCAATTTTCAGGGAAGCTTCTTCTTTGATCACATCATGTTGTGTCCTTTTGTGCTCCTTTGTTGTGGGCGCCTTTTCTTTGTATTTGGGAGTCCATTTCTTCATTCTTTTGATGTATTTAGGCTTTGATGCCTTCTTTGTTGTTGCTGAGACCATATCTACATAGTGGCCACCCTTTTTGAGCTTATTTGGTTCCATACATGCTGAGTTTTTGCTTGCTTTCCCATTCTCATTTCTTTTTCCCTTCACTTTCTTCCTTCTCTCACTCTCCCATTTTAGATCAATGTAACACTCAAATCCACCCAGACCTATAATTACAATCATAAACCTATGTCTAACTCAAAGTGAAGAGCTAGCTCTACATAGCAACCTGTCCTTGTCGTGCCTACCTAACACTTTATGCTTCGTTCATTCAAAAATAGCCCTCATACACAAAGATAGTGTTAGGGTTTGAAAGAAAGGTAAAGTTAAGGTGTGGTAATAAAAGAGTAGAAGAGAGAAGCACAAAAATATATTACAAGAGCTAAAAGAAAAAAAAATGCAATGGTATATACAATGGAGGAGTTTCTTGGTACCTTAGAAGGTTGTGTGTAAGGTGTAGGAGGCGCCTGAAAGGTCCTCCATGTCAATGTTGTGGCTTTTCATTGGCTTCTCTCTCCTTGGGTGTCTCCTCCTCCTTGGCGCTTCTTCCCTTGGTTGCACCCAAGCTCTCACTTCCTCATAACCAGCAAATGAGAGCCTTCTACTAAGAGCTCTAGCCACTCCTTGGCTTTCAGCTTGTTGCTCTTCTTGAGGAGCAGAAGTACAGGCTCCACTA